GTCCACTGCAGATGATTTTCATGATAATTCCTTTATTATTGATAATAATGATGATAATTATGATGATAATGACAATAATAATGAAAAAATCATAATTATAATGACAATTTTCATAATTACTGCAACAATAGCAATAATTAACTCTATTCCAATAATTTTCACACTAATAATGGCAATAGAAATAATAACATCATTATAGAATTAATAATAACATAATTATCAATGTCATTATAATTATTATTATTGCATTATTATTTCTAAAATTATTATTATTGCTATTATCATTATATAAATAGTTATAATGATAAAAATAGTAATAATAATTAGCATAATAATTATTATAACTGCAATAATGATGATAATAATAATGATAATCATGATGATAATGACTATAATGATAATAATCATGAAAATAATGACAGTAATGATAATAATCATGAAAATAATGACAGTAATGATAATAATGATGATAAGAATCATTAATCAGTCCGTTTATAAGAAATAAAGGCCAGAAGTAATAAAATCCTAAAAGTCGAAAAAACGGCAAAATCTAGCGTATTACAGCCTTTTGAGAGAAACGTCGAAAAAAACCATTTTCGCTTTTTAATGGTAATTATGAGGATTTTAACATTAATTCAGGTAATTATGACGACTTTCATGATAATTCCTTTATTATTGACAATAATGAGGATAATTATGATGATAATGACAATGATAATGACAATAATAATGATAAAATCATAATTAATAATGATAATTTTGATAATTCCTGCAATAATTAACTCTATTCCAATAATTTATATGCTAATAATGGCAATAGAAATAATAATATAATTATCATTGTCATTATAATAATTATTATTGTAATTATTATTTCTAAAATTATCATTATTGCTATTATCATTATATAAAAGTTATAATGACAAAAAAGCAATAATAATTAGCATAATAATTAGTATAACTGAAATAATGATGATAATAATAATGATAATCATGATATAATGACTATAATGATGATGATAATGACTATAATGATAATGATCATGAAAAATGACAGTAATGATAATAATGATGATAATTATTATTCAGTCCTTTTATAATTAAATAAGGCCAGAAGTAATAAAATCCCATATGTCGAAAAAAACGGCAATATCAAGCGTATACAGCCTTTTCAGAGAAACGTCGAAAAAAAGCCTTTTTCGCTTTTTAATGGTAATTATGAGGATTTTAACATTAACTCAGGTAATTGGATGGTTTTCACATAATTCCTTTATTATTGACAATAATGATAATTATTATGATGACATTATGATAATGACAATAATAATGATAAAATCATAAATAGATATTTTGATAATTTCTGCAATAATTAACTCTATTCCAATAATTTCCGTACTAATAATGGCAATAGAAATAATAATAACATCATTATCATTGTCATTATCATTATTATTATTGTCATTATTATTTCTAAAATTATTATTATTGCTATCATCATTATATAAAGAGTTATAATGATAAAAATAGCAATAATAATTGTCATAATAATTATTATAACTGCAATAATGATGATAATAATGATAATCATGATGATAATGATTAAGGATAATAATCATGAAAATAATGAAAGTATTGATAATAATGATGATAATTATATTCAGTCCATTTATAATGAAATAAAGGCTACAAGTAATAAAATCCCATAAGTCGGAAAAACGGCAAAATCTAGCTTATTACAGCCTTTCTAGAGAAACGTCGTAAAAAACCCTTTTTCACTTTTTAATGGTAATTATGAGGATTTTAACATTAATTCAGGTAATTATGATGATTTCATGATAAATCCTTTATTACTGACGATAATGATGATAATGACAATAATAATGATAAAACCATAATTATAATTATAATTTTGATAATTACTGCAATAATGGCAATAATTTTACTCTATTCCAATAATTTTCATACTAATAATGGCAATAGAAATAACATCATTATCATTGTCATTATAATTATCATTATTGTCATTATTATTTCTAAAATTATCATTACTGCTATTATCATTAAATAGATGGTTATAATGATAAAAATAGCAATACTAATTAGCATAATAATTATTATACTTGCAATAATGATAATAATAATGATAATCATGATGATAATGACTATAATGATAATAATCATGAAATAATGACAGTAATGATAATAATGATGATAATTTATTATTCAGTCCATTTATAATGAAATAAGGGCAGAAGTAATAAAATCCCAAAAGTCCAAAAAAAAAACGGCAAAATCTATCGTATTACAGCCACTTGAGAGACACGTCGAAAAAAAACACTTTTTTCGCTTTTTAATGGTAATTATGATGATTTTAACATTAATTCAGATAATTATGATGATTTTCATGATAATTCCTTTACACACACACACACACACACACACACACACACAACAAAGTTGCATAAATACCTCTCCTAATCCTTTTCTGTTGCCCCTCGTCACCGTGGCCGAGAGGGTAAGGGCGCCAAATTCGAAACCCGCGATCGCGAGTTCGAATCTGCAAAAGGGAGCCAAAAGTGCTCCCTCTGATTGCAACCTCGCCCGGGGCTGAAAGACATGAAAAGCCCCGGGCACAGAAATTACAAGACGCCTGCCGGTTGCAATCAGTTTTTCCCTATTGTGTGGCTTTTATGTGTGTATGTGTTTGTACTTATGTGTGTTCGTGTAAGCCATGTGCAACTCATGATAGGTCAATGAAATTTCATTCTTTCCCATTTCAGTGTAGGACGTCATAACAAGCCATTTCTTTCCTATATAAAATAAATAAATGAATAATTAAATAAACTTGAAAAAGTTAAAAAATGAAGAGAAACGTACCAATAATTAGAAAATAAAGGCAAACGAGGAAAAATCAAGTAGAAAATTCGTCAAAATGCGGAAAAATATACGAATGAAAAGTCGCCAAATAAAAAACAGAAAACTGCACCAACAAAACAGAAAATAAAACGAAAATAAAGAAACTTGAAAATGAGAAAAAGTGGTAGAAAATCCGCCTAAAGTGCGATAAAAATGCAAATTAAGAAAAGCAATAAGAAAAAAAAGTGCAATTGAAATGCGAATGTGGGAATGCGTACAAGACACTTTGAGTATGAACACGTTAATTAGACTAAATTATGGACACTGCAGTAGAAACGTAATATACATCACAAAATAGGGCATCCGACCGAACTTCTGTTCATTAAGAAACAATAGGCACCCGCTAACATCTCCACGTTCGGATGCCCCTAAGGTGGAGGCTGCACTCCAGGTCACTGCAGATGATTTTCATGATAATTCCTTTATTATTGATAATAATGATGATAATTATGATGATAATGACAATAATAATGAAAAAATCATAATTATAATGACAATTTTCATAATTACTGCAACAATAGCAATAATTAACTCTATTCCAATAATTTTCACACTAATAATGGCAATAGAAATAATAACATCATTATATTATAACATAATATCATCATTATAATTTATTATGTCATTATTATTTCTAAAATTATTATTATTGCTATTATCATTATATAAATAGTTATAATGATAAAAATAGTAATAATAATTAGCATAATAATTATTATAACTGCAATAATGATGATAATAATAATGATAATCATGATGATAATGACTATAATGATAATAATCATGAAAATAATGACAGTAATGATAATAATCATGAAAATAATGACAGTAATGATAATAATGATGATAAGAATCATTAATCAGTCCGTTTATAAGAAATAAAGGCCAGAAGTAATAAAATCCTAAAAGTCGAAAAAACGGCAAAATCTAGCGTATTACAGCCTTTTGAGAGAAACGTCGAAAAAAACCATTTTCGCTTTTTAATGGTAATTATGAGGATTTTAACATTAATTCAGGTAATTATGACGATTTTCATGATAATTCCTTTATTATTGACAATAATGAGGATAATTATGATGATAATGACAATGATAATGACAATAATAATGATAAAATCATAATCATAATGATAATTTTGATAATTCCTGCAATAATTAACTCTATTCCAATAATTTATATGCTAATAATGGCAATAGAAATAATAATATAATTATCATTGTCATTATAATAATTTTTATTGTAATTATTATTTCTAAAATTATCATTATTCTATTATCATTATATTAAAAAGTTATAATGACAAAAAAGCAATAATAATTAGCATAATAATTAGTATAACTGAAATAATGATGATAATAATAATGATAATCATGATATAATGACTATAATGATGATGATAATGACTATAATGATAATGATCATGAAAAATGACAGTAATGATAATAATGATGATAATTATTATTCAGTCCTTTTATAATTAAATAAAGGCCAGAAGTAATAAAATCCCATAAGTCGAAAAAAACGGCAAAATCAAGCGTATACAGCCTTTTCAGAGAAACGTCGAAAAAAGCCTTTTTCGCTTTTTAATGGTAATTATGAGGATTTTAACATTAACTCAGGTAATTGTGATGGTTTTCACATAATTCCTTTATTATTGACAATAATGATAAATTATGATGACAATGATAATGACAATAATAATGATAAAATCATAATTATAATGATATTTTTGATAATTTCTGCAATAATTAACTCTATTCCAATAATTTCCGTACTAATAATGGCAATAGAAATAATAATAACATCATTATCATTGTCATTATCATTATTATTATTGTCATTATTATTTCTAAAATTATTATTATTGCTATCATCATTATATAAAGAGTTATAATGATAAAAAGCAA